GGGCAAATTCCCTTTTTAACCCACGCTAAACGACGCCATCCTTGGAGATCATGGGGCGTCAATATACGTCTGAGCGACATCATTTAACCTGATTTTCCCGTTTTAATAATCCAGTGGATGTGAAAGGTGATATTTTTGCTCCATATCCTGGTATTATCTACTAAGAATTGTGTACGTTTATCGTTCGTTTTGCTCATAATTCGTCATCCGTCTGATGGTGAAAAGATTTCATAGCGTTTTCTCAGGGTCTAACACGAACGATGGGAACCAATGCATCGTTCCAGGCTTGTATTAAAAGTATCTACCTTCCATGGAGATCTGAATTAAATGCAGTTTGTTATCCTTTTGCTGTCGCTCCCTCTTTGACTGACCGGTTCAGGATTTCTGAATGTTTTTCACAGATGAGAATTCTCTCGCTCGTGCTCTTTATCCCTTGTCCTGACTGCAATTTTCACTCTAGTCTGTTCCGCTCTCAGCAATTGGAACTCTGAGACTAGATTTATAGAAAGTATTCGCTTAAGTCATATTATTTCAGACAATTATAAACTTATTTCTTCCTCTGTTCCATTATGTTTTTAAAGGCAGGCCGCATTAAACACAGTCGCAAGCAACTCCTTCCCGTGCTATGCAATGCCGATGGCATGGAACAAATTAGCAGTATCGATATATTGCATAAAATCGTCAATCCAGGGTTCCCCCAGATTCGATGCAATAATAAAGTATTGCGACTCTATTTTCTTTACCAGTCGCCCTCTCTTATATTGGCTTTATCTACACTCAGCTCAAATTTAATAGTAATTTTCAGGATTCTTCGAATAGAGCCGGGTCGATTTGTCCTGAACGACCGGAACATAATTAAGTACGAGTTTAAAACCCGAAGATGCTTCAATTTAAGCGCCTGCTTTTATTTTTTTAAGCAAGTAAAAATATTTCGCCTTAAAATACAAGCCGGTGTTTCATAGCGGAATATCCTGCAGAAAGTTTATGCAACGCTATTTCACAATCCTTGTTTTAGCATGAACATTCCAGTATGTTCGTAGGCTGGAGTATGTCAGAAAATGCATAACCCCACCACCGAGGACCAGATTTCACTGTGTAATATACAGCTTGCTTGCTTCTAGGTGCCTAGGAGACCATTTAAGCAGAAAAACACGATGATATTTAAGGAACTGTAATGTCAGATCCATTTTGCAGTATTTTTTTCCGCTAGAATCAACTGGTGCTTATCACGAACAATCATTCAAGAGTTGATACTTCTTTTATGCTACCGTGTGAACATTATGGGTTGTTGGAGAGCCCGAAAATATGTCAAATAATGAATACTAGATTTCACGGCGTGTTGCACTGCCCAT